AGCCATCAAGAACAAAACAAAAGTCACCCTAAGCAAAGGCATTGCCAGAATATGCAATGTGCATGCATCCCCTTACATTTGCTATAAATGTAACAGTAAAAAAACCCCAATGATAATAATTAGCCTACATAATTTGTGTGTTTTGAGGGGTTAACAGAATATCTGACTTAACGGGGAAAAGGTGTGCTGGGTATAGGGGGAAAACAAGATTTTCTTTGGTTTAGACTGCAAGAAAAATTTGCAATGCCTTGCAATCAACCTGACTGCCTTCCATGACCCCTGGAGGTAGCAACCCACCAGCTGAGAAACTTCTCCTCTCCTCACAATGAGCCACTATTTACCTACATCAAGTGTGAGAGTATGCAAAAGGGATCTTGAACTTACATTTTTGTCCACGCTGTAAAGGAAGAAGAATACTTACCTTTGAATAGGGGTCTGGAAAGTTGAATTCATTTAGACAGTGTTCTCTCGTATCCAACAAACTTCTAACTGTTAGGGTGCCATAAGCACTGAAAGAAAGAGAATGGATCAGCTGCTTCAGAGAATGGAGGAAGAATTGTTTCTCTCCCCATGCCCACCATCTTCAGAATCAGATTCTGTAACTGACCCAGATATAGTACAGTGCAATTCTACTATATCCTAGATTCTCTACATCAGTCACTACTGTATCTGAGCACCTAAAGCAGGGTACACTTACACACAGGCTTCATTGACTCAACTGAGAAAAGTCCTATTTTAAAAAGAGGCAAGGATAGAATTTTGACCAAGATACTGGCCATTAAACTAATCTAACTACTACCTCCAGGAACGTTACGGTACCTACACCATCAAGTTTTATTGTGTCATAAAAATTAAAATGTCTTTAATTAAATTCTAGTCATTGTGGTCAGATCAATATGGTTAGCTAGGAGCAAAGGAGTCTCTGATTCTAGGAAGGCACTACAAGATAAAAGGCTACCCTATGCAACACTGTCCACTGTGGTTTGTGCTAGCACAGTTAGCTAGGAGGAGACACAGTAATGACCAGCGGGATATTGGACTCTAGAAAGACTCTTAACCTCTTCTCATAAATCATCTCTTAAAAGTATCAATCCATAGTCTACTCTTATTATGGGACAAAATCATCAAAAATGGGTGCCTATGGCAAGATTTGCTTATGGACATGCAATGGAATGTTGGATTCCTACCACAGGAGGCAGTTGTCATTTAGGAAACAAAATACTTGTAATCCAACAGAGAGTGGGAGCACCCTGAATATGTATTAAAAAAAATTCTTTCAATATCCATCTGAGACAGGTGACCTGTCACTTTAAGGGTGGCTAACCCTGGGGCTCCTTAATCTGTTCAGATAGTCCTGCCCTACCACACCTGTGCAGGATGAAGGCCAGTTCTCAAGGGAATTGTGGTGAAAGAGCTATGCAGTTGTAGAGCTAAGCCATGACAGTAGAGCAAACTCCTACAGTGGGTCACAGGAAAAAGGGGCTAAGCTCCAAGGAGGCAGTCCTTGGGCATAAAAGGAGACAGAGGAACGAGAGGCTCCAAGCCTGGAGAGGGGTGAAAGGTGCCTAACCTAGCTTTGTTTTGAACTTTACCGAGAGGTTACCAGAAATTGATGGAAGAGAGCGTGAAGTTAGAAGCACTTGCTGCTGGCCCATGGAAATGCCAGGTGAAGGGATGCTGAAGAAGCCACCAAGAGAAGCCAAATGAGGGCCTGACTAATTGCAGCTGGATTTGATTCCCAGGAAGGGGACTGAACTCTTAAGTGAGAGCTGGCTGGAGGGCCAAATCACTCAGCCAGACCAACAGAGGGTCTGAACAACCATTTGAAGAAGGCAACCAAATGGAAGGCCCAGCAATGCTGCACCCAACTGTGATAGGGTGCCAGTTGGCGAGTTAGTCACCTCTGTATGCACAGAGTTCACTCTGGGGCAGGATCCTAAAAGAGCAGTATATTTAACTTTATTTCCTATGCACATTTAGCTAAATGTAACATGCAGGGAACAAATCACAAAACAGGCTAACAAATGCATATTAAACATACATCTAAGTTAACTGTGCTCACAGGAAAAAGCCGACACTTACAAAGGCTGCTGTCTGAGTGTCTGAAGCTTATTCCAATACTTCTGTCTGAACTTTTCTGCTCGCTCAGCTGCATCGGTAGAGTCTGGCTGACTGGCGATAGCACGTTTCACTACCTGGCAGAGAAACAAAGAGGCTGGATTGGAGATGCCATATGATTTCTACTCTCAACTTGTCTAATGCGAACAATCTAAATGGTTGAAACTCAGGCAAATATTTATTCTGTCTTCTGAAATGTTAAGCGCCCCATGCCAACATCAAAGAAGTTTACACTTGAGGTTCCCCCCAAAGATTCAAGGATATACATTCAAAGAAGAAAGCGGCATCTAAAACATTCTACTAGTCTGTTACAGAAAGTTCAAATCATCAGCTCAAAGTTAACATGCAATATAGTGAACTGTTTTTATAGCTCGTAAGTTCTTAGGATGGGCATGCTTACTATGGATACAGACACTCAGGAGTGATTTATGAACGCGGAATCAGTTAAGAGCATGTCAGTCACGTGACTCATTAAGTAAGGCCAAATCCTATTCATCTGGCTCACATGAGTAGCTCCACTGTGGTCAGAGCAACTGTTTAAAAGAATAACGACAGCAGGATTTGGCCCTTTAAACATAAAATGATGCTTAACAACAAGGAGTGCACAGTGGTATTTAAACAATAACATGCTTTGGAAATTATTCAAAGAGGTCACAAGAAAAGAAAGTAATTCTGATTCTGCTGAGGTAAGTGTCCACAGGACCTCCACCAACACAGCTGGAAGGAAAGTCCTACGAATTTTACAGCCATGAAAACCAGGTCACGGACCACAACATCTGATCTCCCCCAAATCAGCCGAGCTGAAGAGGGACAGGAATCCTCCCTCTACTCAGCTGTTATTGGAGAAAGATCAGAGCCACTTGCACACGCAGTGCAGCAGTGAGGTCACTTTGGTGGGGCAGCAAGCCCAGCGCTGGGCTTCAGGTGCCTGCCCAGGCTTGGGACACCCAGGCTGGGGGGTGCTCCTGCGAGTCTGAGCTGGTGCTCTCTCTCCCCAATGCAGTCCTGCCCAGCCCTTCCCAGGCTCAGGATGCGTGAGCTCTGGGGCTGCTGCTGCCCTCCCCTCCTCCTGTGGCTCCTGCATGGGTTTGGGATGCCTGAGCTAGGGGACTGCCGCTGCCTTTCTCTCTCCAGCTCTAGGATTGCTGCCGCTAGCCCTCTGCTCTCCCTTCCTCTCTGCCCTGTAGCTCCTGCTGGGACTCGACAGCCCCAGGACGTCTGTTCCTCTCCCCAAGCCCTGGGGCTGCTGTTGCCACCCCCACCCAGGCTCTGGGCTTTTGCTCCTGCCGGGAAGCACCTTGGCTCCAGCTGAGACTCAGGGCTTCCACACCCTGCTGCTCATGCCCGAGCTGGGACCTGCCACCCTTTACAAATCCAGCTGGGACTCAGAAGTCACATGGGGTGGAAGCCCTACCTGGATTCAGCTGGGGATTTTGCCCCCCCTCCCCGAGCTCTTGCTGGAGTTCCTTTGTGGCTCCAGATGGGTCTTGGCATGCTTGAGTTCAAGGCTTCTGTCCCCCACCGCAGCTACCACCCAGGCTTGGGACTTCCATTCCCATGGCTCCTGCTGGGATTAAGGGCTTTGCAGCCCCTACAGCACCTGCTGGGTCTCGGGACTTCCACCCTGTGGCTCAAACTGTCCGGGCCCCTGGGCACAGGCATCCTGTCTGTGCCCATGCATTAATCTACCACTTGCCCTGAGTCTGACTAGCAGTTAGGAGCACCTGTTTGGGGCCCTCAGCAGCACTGGGGAAATCACACCTACCTCCTCCACCTCTGGGAGCCTCCTCCAGCTGCAGAAAACTCCGCCTTCAGAGCTGGGCTCTGCAGATAGCACAGACGTGAGTATGGCAATCCTGCAGCCCCCCCCAATGCAGCTGTGGGACTCTCTACAATCCCCTCTTAGATCAGGACCCCCACAGTTACAACACTGTGAAATTTCAGACATAAAACATCTAAAATTGGTCAGTTTCACAATTTTAAGACCCTGTAGCCGTGAAATTGACCAAAGTGAACTATAAATTTGGAGGAGCCCTACATATAAGAATTGCAAGACCATCAGTTTACATGGGACTGGGAAGGCTCCATTTCTCCACCAAGTGTGACTGTGTGGTCAAGCTGGCAGTCTGGGGTCATCCATATTTTTCTGTGGGCTATATGCCAATTCAAGAAGCTCTTTAGTCAAAATGCAGTATGTGTGTCCCTTACCCCATCCAAAGCCTCCTCAAAGCAAGTGAGCCAATATTTCCTGGCCATGGCATCATCAGTGAGGTCAACGGTGTCAGGGATGTATGTGGTTGGGTCCTTTAGCAAGGGCAGGTTAACAAGTGGTCGTTCCAACCGATCCATTTCAAACATGTCAAACTGGGAAGTGATGGGGTAAAAATAAAGTTCCAATCAGACTTCTCAATTAAGCTAACTCAAACAGGCTGGTCCAATAAGATTGCTTTGTAATGGGACTAGCCCACAGCTGCATTAGAGTGTGCACACAGTATGGGTAAAAGAATGGTTCTACAATTGCCAAAGCTTTGTCTTGAGATCTTAGAGGAGTTTTTCCATTTAAAAACAAAAAAAAGCGCACCCCTTCTAATAATTCTCTTAATGAGAGATGCGATCATTCTGAAGAATTAAGTCAAGCATGCAGCCTTCTCTTCAGTAAAAATGTGATTCCCCCCATTTCAGTTTACACATTTCTGTTTGCTACCCTTCCCCCAGAGCCCTTAAACTTATAGGGAAAAACAGCATTTAGGGTCAATTGTTTAAGAACATGAACACGCACAAGTAGTTAGTTCCACATATGCAAATATTCTGTTGCATATTAAAAAAAAAAACTAGCTAAGTGCATGGATTTATTGTGCAAATGAGTGGGGAGAATCAGGCTACAACTGACTTGTTTACTTGGGATCTGGAATTATTATTTAAGTTGGGGAGTCTGTGTCCACTATAGGTGGATAAGAGTTTGTTAGGTTTATTACAGTCCTGAAGACCCCAAGGGTTCCAAATGATCTCTCAGGGAAGACAGCTTCTGGTCCTAGGAAGACCGTAACTTACCGTGCCACTCCTTGCACGTTGCATGGGACAGAAATCGGGCGAAGTGCTCATTAGGCCAGAACTCCCAGCATAATTCTCTCCCCAACTGTACTGGTTGGGATCTGGAGGAACAAAGAGAGGCCATAAACTAAAAGTAAGACTGTCTATACCACGACTGATTTAATGCCTATATGCCTTTGTGTAGGTTTTTAATGCAGACAAATGCAAGGGAAAAAAGTCATGGAAATAATGTTTACAGAAAGTGTAGCGTTACTCAAACATCCCATTAATTAGAAATTTGGGCTGCTTATTAATAAAATGAGCAAGGGCCAAGAAACCCTAAGTTTCAGAAACTGTTACCCCATCACTTTTGACATTCTCCAAGCCCCTCTTTTTATTTCCAAGCCTAGTATCTCCATAGATGGTGTACTGAAGTGCTTAGTAAGAATGCATTACAACCAAATAGTTTAACAAACAAGTCATTTCTAGGGAGAACCAGCTCTTCTGATAAACAGAAAAAAAAATTAGTCAGAGTGTGGGAAATAGAGCTTCAGAAGCATGCCTTGTGTACCAGGGGATTCCTAGTTATTCTTCCCAGATCTACAGAACCTCTGCCAAATTACACAGCTTCTTAGTACCTAAATTTTCCCTCTCTGTAAAATGGATAGGAAAACTTCCTGCTTTACAGGGCATTATGAGGATTAATCATCTTTGTAAATGCAGAGATCACTGGATAAGTTTTAACCACCCCAATCAATCTGGTTCTGTTTTCATTTTTAAAATACAAACTGAATGGCTTGCTCATACAGCGGTGAAAAATAGTGGTTACTAATCAGAGAGATCAGCAGCATAGAGCTCTCTTCTCAGCGAAAGCAACCTGTAACTGAAGAACGCTAAAAAGTTCCAGAGGGGTAGCCAAGTTAGTCCGTAACTGGAAAAAACAACAAATAGTCTAGCAGCACCTTAAAGACTAACAAAACACGTAGACAGAATCATGAGTTTTCGTAGGCAAAACCCCATCTGAAGAAGAAGTGGGTTGTGCCCATGAAAGCTCATGATACCAGCTACATGTTTTGTTAGTCTTTAAGGTGCTGCTAGACTATTCGTTGTTTTTTAAGAATGCTAGGAACAGACGCACACTCTAACTACTGGGGTGTTTTCATGGGCAAAAAAAATGCAAGTTCATAATTCCATCATTTCTACACTAGCACTCTGACCATAGATTCAGAAACTGTGCTCTCTGGAGAGTAAATCATCAGAACCCTGGCTTTTCCTTCTGCCTTTAGAGAGATTGCTTTTGGCAGTCACAGGAGGGGGAAGAATAAGTAAACCCACCAGGCACCTTCACGTGGAGCAAGGAAATCGAGATCTCCTTGCCAGAAGAAAATAAGTTAATGTTTACAAAATAAATCTGTGCTGTTAACGACAAACATATTTGATTAACCAATGATTTACATGCAGCCTCTTGAAAGAAGCTTCGACTGACACTAACATTTCAGAACACTGCATATACAGAACATAGTGATGCTGTACTTACTGTCTTGTTCAGCTCCTTTTAAAAATGCCCCAATGGCTCCCAGGTAGCCTTCATGTCTCAGGAACAATGCCTGAACCTCTCCCTGCCACAATATGAAACATTGCATTTGGATGGCCCCTGGTTGCTAACATATACTTTGTCACTAATTTACACTTAAGTATAACAGACAAACCAGCTAGAATATTTTATTGTACCCATGCTACATTCTACCACACCTCAGTAATTTCTATGGTGCTGCAGGAGGTATATTTGAAATGTCTCTTTTCAGCATGTACTACTTACACCTACCAGCCCAGGATTATCAGACAGCGAAGGAAGATACAAGGAGGAATATGCAGTTTGTTCTAAGGCTGAATAGAAGTGTAATTAGCCAGTGCTTCAGTACAGAAACCTACTGCAACTTCCCATGGATATTCAACTCCTCTTGCCTGAAAGTGCTGTAAATTTGGCACATTCATTCATCTTTGGCAGCGCATCTCTCAGACATTCTAAACCATGATTCTCATTTCCTTCCTCTACTTTACTCTCTCTCTTCACTTTGCACTGGCTCTCGAGCTCTAAGAACACACTGAAATGTCCGTGCAAATGGAGAGAGACAAAATGCCTGGGCGCGGCAACACATTTTGTTAAACCAGTCAAGGAGATGTTCATTCATCAAATACAAGAAAGCAACACCATCCTTACAATTCAGGAATCTGAAACTGCAAATGAGGTAGACCCATTATCCACCAAATCCTTCACCTTCCTAGGCAATGAGAAATGTTGTGGAAACTGGGAGGAGGCAGCAAAAAAACCCACAAAAAAAACAAAAACACAAAAAAATCCACAACACAAAAAACTAGCTCCCCCATATAGGTACTCACAAAAGAATGTTAACATTTGCTTGTTAACATAAGCAAAAGACCAGTAATGACAATTCACTTATACTAGTTAAGGAGGAAACTAGCAGTTTCCTGAAGCTTGCCACTAATCTATAAAAAGACATTGTCGGGGTAAGACAAAAGGAGATCACAGAAATTTAAGAAAAGGTGCAGATAACTCAGCCCTCAAGGATTGGGTAACAGTGAAAAGCCTAAGCATCGATGCCTAGAAAGTCCAAATACCACTAAGTTTATAAAGTCATCACGCAGATACAGTCTATTCCCCACTCCAACAGATCTCAAACCAGCTCTAGGCTTTGGGTTTTACCTGCCCTCTCAGCTCACAACTCTCTGAAAGCAGGGAAAGAATATGTAAAGGGGAACATTACACTATGAAGTGATTTCAGATTAGCTATTTTAGAAGGAATGACAGTTTGTATTTTTAAAGCTGGTATTAGCTGCAGGTTTTATTGTAGAAGAATCATCTCACTAAATTTGACAAGGGAATGTGAAATTAGCAAGAGGAATTGAATAATCAATCATGGTATCATGTGAGGAAGATGTATAGGATCAATGCTGAGCAGCTACAGTATTACAGACTACTACAAAACCCACAGACATCTACTCTATCAACTATATGCAATTGATCTTTATAGCAGTACTTGACCTTTAAATAAAGGTTGGCTCCAGTCAGTGGCCATTCATTATTAATACTGTGTTAGAGATTCATTGCATTACTTTGATCGTGCTGCCAACTTGGTACATTGAAGAAAAGAAACTATGTTAAGGTCTTGCAGCAAATTAGGAAAGATACCCAAGACTTCCTGAGAGCTTAATTTTTATTACCTTGGAGAAGAAGTTAATACTGAAGGTGATTGTGCGCATGGTGACTGGGTGACCCCGAATAAAGAATCCTCCAAAGTAAATTTTGTGTAGATTATGGAGTTTAGCATAGAGGCAGGCAAGCTGTCCAATGTCATTGCTGATCATGTGTAGTAAACTCTTTGCCATATCATCTTTAGAAAATTCTAAAGGAAAAACAATTAAAAAAAAACACATTAAAGATGGTTGAATCATGCCCAAGTGGATGTTATTTTTAGCCAGACAATAAGCAAAAAGTATCCCTAGGGGAGCTCCACTGGCTTCCTTAGTCTACAAGAGTGATGAATCTGGCTTCAGAGAAAAAAAGTTTAGCCTTATCACAGCTAGTAGACCTGGACAGGAATAAATTGTTTAATTAGGAAATACCAATCAAAACATTTTGTGGGAAAGGGTCAGTTTCAGCAAACTGATTTTAGTTAATTATTTAATTCATATAAATAAATAAAATAAAAAGAGACAAACTTTGAAACGTGTTTCTTTAAAAGTTTTCTAAATGTTTTTTTCCTGGTTCAAAAGTACTTTCAAAATTTAAGCAAACTGTAGTAAACTTTAAAAAAAATATTTCAATATATAAATGTTTCCATTATCGGTATCAACTTTTCAGATTTTTAGTTTGTGAAAATTTCTCTCTCTCCTGATTTCATACTCTGATAAGACAGAAAAAAAAAAATTTTCTGCCCAGCTCCCAGAGCTAGTTGTATGAAATTAGCAAAAAAAAAAAAAAAAAAAAAAAAAAAAAAAAAACAAAAAGTCCCAAAAAAAGGGAAAAAAAACCCAACACACAGGAAGTCTCCAGGATAGAAACTTTAATTTGTAGCCAATAACTTTGCTTTGAAATAAAAGTCACTATATAAAAGTACTTTTTGGACTACATATACAGGATCACACATGTATGATGAGGGGAAATTTGTTAAGAAGGAGAATGTGGCAAATTCCAGTTAAGTAGAGTGCTCTGGGATCTTTAACATCCTTGCTGGGAAACAGCACAACCTTAAAGGGCCACATATAGTAAAGCATATGAATTTAGTTTGTTTCTTTCAAAAGTAATGAGTGCCAAGCTAACCCTTCTGCGACTTCAAGATTTCAGTGACTCTGAAGGTTTCAAACAAGACAAGACAAAAAAAAAAAAAAAAAACCCACACACATATGCAGCAAATCCTAAAACTATTTAATATTTAGGCCTTTCCTTCTAGCTCCAGCCAGAATCAGTTAATGCTGCGCTTGGGTTAACCAAAGTATCACTTCTGTCTCTCTCTAAAAATCTGTGTAATCCCACCACTGCCTGGCAAACTGAACTCTAAAGGCATGTCTACTACCTTATTTCGAAATAACAAGGCGAGCTTCCACACTACCAAGCCTGTTATTTTGAAATAATGGGCTTGTTACTTTGGGAAAAGGAATGAGCTTATTTTGAAATGGTTCTCCCAGGAGTTATTATTTCAAAATAACCTGGTAGTGTAGACCTAGCCCTAGACTTTTGTGACCATATAATGCACTTTGTGAATACCTTTCTAAGCCAGGTTCATTTGGGACTAGATTCAACTGATATTCTAGTTCCCAGTGCTCGTGGGGACAGATCTAGGACAAACTGTTTGCAATCACCTGTGCTGTTAGAGCAACAAGACAGATTCTAAAGGCATTTATAGCAGAGCAGGAAAGGAGAACCTTAAGCTAGCCTACTCCTTTGGAGACAGATACCAACCTTAAGTCTTCAGAGGGCCAAGGAGGATATGGTTGGATCCATTCCTTTCCACTAGCTAGAAACTCTGAAGAAGCAAGTCAGTACAGACACTGTTCCTTATAAAGTCTCCACACCCCGACAAAAACCCATGCCACAGGGAAATGGTACTGGGGAAGTTCACAACTCTCTCATCCTCTCACTATATGGGAGTGTCACAAACATTCATACAATCAGCATATTAAAGTTATAGGCAAAATGCAGTAAGATTTATACTGCAAATCTCAGACTCCACTCCCCCCTACCCCAGTGTTGATACCTTTATCTGCTGTGGCAGATTTCCCAAAGCTGCTAGCTATGAGATTTCCACTTAGCCCTAGTGTATGGTAGGCTCCACCATACACATCTTTCACCAGCATGTCGACATTTGTATGCTGTCCCTTTGAAGCAAGCTGCAGCAGTTCATCAAATTTCTGAGGAAGAGAAACAAACCATGTTACACCAGGTTTTCTGGATGGCCAGATAATCTTGTCTGAACCTCTAACTTCTGCAGAACTCTTCATAAGAGCAGTCATTCAAACAAACAAGCAAACAATCCAACCAAACAAAAACAGCCCATACCAAACAGATGTTCCTTCTATTTCAGGCCATAGGGAAGAACTACCCAATCTAAGAGTAGTGCTTCACAGTCTCACTGTAACCACTGCTTTCAGAATCAGACCAGAGACAACCATATGCAAATAACTGATCGAAAGAGATTCCTCCTGAAGACTGGACGTGAGGAATGTGAGTGCCCTCCAAGTCTGCTTGCAACCCCTTTGAATATTACTGCTTCCTGCAGAAAACCTCCATCCTAAACTAGCGTGGTGTGGAACGTGGCATACATTCCACCCAGACAACTCCCATGAATGGCTCAGAATTCAAATAGGATTGTATAGGCACAAATAAATAGAATGTTACCCAGTACCTTTCGATACTTTGGATTCTATGCTGTTTCAACGAGCAGATTAGCAAAAAACCTTTAGTTCAGTAGCCTCCATATCACCCTGATTACAGGGATAATATGGTCCTAAGTGAACACTGTAGTGAAGCTCATAAAAGTTACTCTGGATCAACTTAATATTCAGCCTTCTTTCCTGTTGCTTCCCTTGTAAGTAAGACTGTTGCTGTAGCCTAGCAACCATTCAGGTAACAGCAGGAACAGAATTCCAGCCAGAGCCTGCCAGGCACTGTACCTATCCTCAATGCAGGCTGGGAGGCCAAGTGGGCTTATGTTTCAGAGGCATTTTAGTTCAAAAAGTAAAACTAAAAGAAAGGCTGCCTGTCCAGCTCAAGAGAGCTATGAAAAGAAGCATTAAAATAAAATAAACCTGGAAGAACTAGTCTTGCCTTTTTGGGCTCCCCCACTGCTTATAGCTCAGCTATGAACGCTGTTCCAAGTTGAGACATGTGCCTCCAAGTCCAGTAAAGCAGGAAACATTGAAAAGACTGAGACTAATGAATGTATCTGACAAAACATTGCAAACAGGGACTTTTCCCTTTGATCTTCTCCTGACAGATTCTCGATACGTAACTGAATCTCCTCCTGCATAAGCTAACACATACATTACCCAAGTCACATGGACCTTTAACGACATAGGCTTCAGTTACATGAACATACAAATCCCTAAAAAGCAATAGGAACTGAGCTACCCCCTTTGCCTCAGATATACTGCAGTACTCTGGCTCTCCTCTCTTTACTGCTCTTCAGGACTTTAGACTGAACCTGGAGAAGGTCCGAGTAACTCATTCATATTTGAACACAAGGCAAAGAAAAAAAAAACCCAAACAGGTAAGATGGAGCAGACTGTATTCAAACCGTACATAGTCAGGGAAAAGACCATTACAGAATAAAAGGGAACTGTACACTCTTCTCCTCCTCCCGCCTCCAATCCTAGAAGCTGGAAAAAAATCCTGTATCCTAAACAGTCTTTTGCCTACTTGACAGGGTATTTCATTATCTCCGGTGTTTCTAATGGGGCTTTTCTGGTTTACTGCATGGATATCACAAAGGATGTCAGCACAGCTCAGGAGTCCAGGTTCGTTATTTAATAACAGCAGCAGATACAACAGGGAACAGAAGAGCATTTAACAGAGAATACAAAAATACATAGCAGAATGTATTAATGGCAATTTTAAAACAAAATCTGTGGCAGAACAGTGGCTCAATGTGCAAGGTTCGAAATCATAGTTATTACAATATGGCAGAGAATTAACTTTGGACCTCAGGTTCCATAAAGAAAACACAATTTCAAACAAATAGGATTTTCCTTTTTTTAAAGAGGAATACCACAAATGAAAGCCTCTCAGTAGCAATAATACCTTTGTTTTTGTGAGTAAAGTTCCAAGACCCCAGAAGGTTCCCCCTCCGATTGAACTCCCTCCAATCCATTCAAATTTGTCCTCTGTTTCCACCTATCAATTACACATGGATATCATTATGAACACACTTATAAATAAATATAACCTCTGGATTCCGAGCAATGGAAGGGATGCATTCAGTATGAATAAATGCTGCCAACAGGACAGCTTAATGATCTACTTCTCTGGATCATGTTCATATGTTTCACACCTATCTCAGTAGGAGCCATTTAGCCCTTAATCTTTAGAGATAAACGAATTTCATGCACAAGTCTATGGCCATCAGGAGGACTCCCTAGAATTCAGAAGTACATTCAGATTCATGCTACAGAATGACAGATGTGCTTCTACAGAAAGTTGCTTTAATGGACTGACCATGATTTTAACCACGACAGATGTGCATGGGAATGATTACTTGGTTTAATGTAGAGAATATTAACACCAACACACTTGTTACAAGCGGAGAATTGGAAATTGTTTGTCACTTGCACAGCTTACTGTTCTTTTGATCATAACTAGTCCTTTAAAACTTCTGAAACAGGCAACCATTGCCAACCCCATACTCTCTTTATACACTGAGAAGTTCAGACAAAGAAATTAGAAACGGATGCTCTGAGCAGAATAAGAATGCCTATCTCATGGCTAATGGCTTGTCTACCCTAGAAATGCTGTTACAGAATGCTACTGCGTTAGGCTCTGCCAGCTCCTGAGCGTGCGGCTTATGGGCGTCCCCGCCCCTGGGCACGCAGCACAGGAGCGGCACCGACCCCAGGCTTGCAGCGCATAGGCTGTTTCGGCCCCAGGCGCACGGAGTATGGGCGTCCCTGCCCTGGGCACGTGGCACAGGAGAGGCGCTGGCCCCAGGCGTGTGGCGTATGGGCAGCCCTACCCCTGGGCATGTGACACAGGAGCAGCACTGGCCCTGGGAGTGTGGTGCATGGATGGCGCCAGCACTGGGCACGCGGCATATGGGTGGCCCCGCCCCCAGACGCGGCCCTGCCCCCGGGTGCCTGGCGCGTGAGTGGCCCCCACCCCCCGGGAGCCTCTAAAGGTTGGGGACCACTGGTCTAAACACTACCTATGGCTGACAGTAGGGGGTACTCCTCAGCAAAGGTAATCCATCTGGCACTCCACAGACATAGATATGTCTATGTATTTTCCCAGTGTAGACAGCCTTAAGCTTTTATCCACAAGTGGCTGCCAAAGGTGTTATTCTCTCTTTTTCTGGTATTATGAATTTGTCATTTCCAGCTGTTACACTTTAAGCACAGCATTATCCAGTTAACAAGGGGACAGATTGTAGTCCAATGGAAAAGCAGGTAGAACATACATTTAGACTGAAATCAATATTTATGCTTTTTGTTTAAAACTTCATATAAACCCAGAAGGGAAACAAATGTAAATCTGACAGTGTTACATGTAGATCTAGAGTACCACCATTTATCAGTTTGAGGACATATCACACACTCACACTCAATTAAATTGTCTATTGGCTTACTCACCTTCACTATAGAAACCCCAGAGCCAATATTGACTAGCAAATAAGGGAAAATATTCGGATGATTGGTCTGAAATCGGAATTCAGGATCTGAATCTTTCTGATATGCAAAGGCCTCATGGGGTATATTTTTTAGCACAAAGTTACAACCTTTAATTAGGCAAGTCATTACATCTTCTTTATCCACCCTGAAGAGAAAACACACACTTAAACACAAGAAAATGTCCTTTAAAAAAAAAAAAAAAAAAAAAGTAATTTTAAGCGCACACACACAAAATACAATAATTAGGCTAAAGATTCCAGAGCTTTGCAATTCCTGTTATTTAAGAACATTTTAGGGCTTCATTTTTTAAAACCTACTGTGATAGTTATTTCAGAGATAGGAATGACAGGACTGATTTTGAGGAGAGTTCCTATAGAAGCTAAGCCCTTGTAACTGATAATCACCTGCCTACAACTGAAATGTAGCCACCTCTAAAACAGAGTGGAACTGTCTAACAGAGTGACACTACAGTGTTTAGGACACACAAGTAGGATTACAATATGCAGTTGAAATAGTAGGGACAGTTTTAAAGAAGCAGAATATATTAAAAAGGCTACAGTTTAGCCAGGACCAGAGGTTAACACCCCTATAGTGTCAAACTGTCAGATCTTTAGTCACCTTAGTTATTTGTCAACTGAAAGATAGCATGAGTAGCAGCACAGCACACCCTAGCAACTAGTGATACAAGATGGAAATTCAGTCCCAATTCAGAGGAAGAAATATGTCCTACTGAATTACAATCACTTGATCTAGCACTCTGTTATTTCTTGATGTCACCAGTGCAGCGGGGCCTTGCTAAGCTTTTGAGGTCCTAGAAGATTACAGTATGAGCACATAAGGCTGCAATCTAACATTTACTGGAGACAGTATTTTACCTTTCAGAAAGAGTTCTCCTCCTCAACTCTAATGAGTTTCAACCAATTTCCACTTACTTCAGTCCCAGCTTCTTCTCAATAAGATCTTTGAATTTGTAGGCACCACCCCCGGTAGCTTTGAGCACTTGAGTTTCTGTGTTGACAAGATGGTCTTTAATGAAATCTAAGCAGGTTTCAATGTAAGTGTTCTCAAATTTAATGAAGTGCAGTCGAGCTGTGATCTCCTCTTGAACTGTGATTTCATAGGGAGATTCATGTTCCACATCCTAAAAAATTCAGAGTAAGTATTTTTCTTTTGGCTTCACTTCTCAAGAAAATGTCTGACAAGAAGAGTTACTTAGTAAGCTAGGGAATATTTACATGCATTGAAAATACAAATGGAATTAGCTTATCAGTACCAAAAGCACCCCTTGAACACTCAATTTTATTCACATAGTTTTAATACACACTAATCATAAAAAGTCTCAGAGGGGTAGCCATGTTAGTTGTAACTTTAAAAATGAGTAATCCTGTGGCACCTTAGAACTAATTTAGGAAGAACAGAAACCAAGATATATATATAACAGCGAAAGAAGTCAATTGCACAACCTGTGACAGGTACTACTTTTCTTCTTGTGCTGTTTTTATTTATATATATATAAACTGCAAAAGTACCTGTCACAAGTTATACAACTGACAGGTACTTCTTTTGCTGTTATATATATCTTGGTTTCTATTGTTTCCACTGCAACACAGCTGATGAAATGGATTTTACCCACAAAAGCTCATGATACTACATATTTGTTAGTCTCTACGGTGCCACAGGACTATTAATCATAGTATCCATTCCTCTGTCTTTGCTCAGGCATACACAGAAGCCACCAGTGTACCAGACAGAGCTTGTGTTTAGGACTGACTCTGCTTCTCAGCAGTCTTATATTTTGTATAGAAGATGGTGACTCTAATGTTGAATACATCAGCTACATAGAGTCTAGCATTCCTGAATACCGAAGCCTATGAAGTGCACGTATAAACACTGGTTTGATAGATGAGAACCAACAGCAAACGATCAGTTCAGAAGAAAGCACCAACCTTTTTTATTCTAAGACCTAACTAGGCTTAGTCATCCAACTGTATTTTTTATTTGCACAGTATGTCAAATAAGAGTTTCAAGCTATATCACGCCTAAAAAGCAGATAGTTGGGAGGTAGAGTGAGGACCTTCCTTCCACCCCATAAATGCCTCAGTAAAATTATTAAATTGTGATGATCTTTGCTTTGAAAAACTCTTCCCTGCTTTGAAACAAGGACTTGAAACTTGTGTCAGGAACGTGCCTTTTGCCATCCTTTTGAAAATAAATCAGCCCTTAAGAGGGTGGAGCTGAAGAAATTAAATAAGGCAGGGGTCATGTGGGAAAAAAATGTGATCGTATAATCAAAGACAGTCATAATGTGCGTCGACATGGTGGCTATGTTAAGGTTACCTGTGCAACCTGAAGTCTGGTGTTTCCTAACTGTTAAGGGTTGACTTTGCAGCCTTAATATCCTTTAAATAGGTTTTTTGTGTTTGCGTAACGTGTTCTTCGTGCAAGCTTGGAACTAGAACAGTAATAAGCTTCTGCAGTTAAATACAATTGTCAGTTGGCAAACCTCAGCCAAATGGTTGTTTCACCTGAAATACTGAATCAAACTCTACAGGTGTGAACAAAACCCAAAATCTCTCACTCACTTCTAACCTGAAATGCACACATCTACAAGTGCTTAGGTGCACACTGAAAACTTCCCTCATTACAAGGTGTAAGGTATGACAACTGTGAGGCTACATCTATACTGCAAGGTTTTCGTGCAAAAACCCGTGGAGCGTCTACGCCTTAAATGCGCTTTTGTGCAAGGAAATCAAGAGTAAAATGGCGGAACAGAGGGCTTTTTCCGCTGTAGGTAAACCTCTTTTTATGAGGCATAACTCCCTTTTGCGCAAGAGTTCTTGTGCAAAAAGGCAAGTGTGGACATTCCAGAGGGGTTTCTTGTGCAAGAAACCCCTGGGGAAAAGCACAGGTGCTCTGATGGCCATTCTGTGAATGGCAATCAGAGCTTCCTTGCGCAAGAGCATCTATGCAGTGTGGATACTCTCTTGCTCAAAAGCACATTGCTTTTGTGATGTGCTTCGGGGTGTGGACGTGCTCTTGCGCAAGACATTTTTGCGCAAAAACTCCTGCGCAAAAAACTTCTTGCTCAAGAAGCATGTAGTATAGACGTAGCCTAACTGATAATCTCTTAGGCTAAGTCTACGAATTCTCAGCAAAAAATATGCTAATGAGGGACTCATTTGTATGAGTCGCGATCTCATGTCCATATTTCCTGCCGATCCGTTTTTGCGCTGGGGTTTTTGTGCAAGAACAAGCAGCATGGATGTTTTCTTTCTGTGCAAAAAGAAAATGTCCACACTGCTCGTTATTGCACAAACACCCCAGCGCAAAAATGGATTGGCCGGAAATATGCAAATGAGATTGTGAATCATGCAAATGAGTCACTCATTAGCATATTTTTTGCCGACAAAACTCTTAGTATAGACGTAGCCTTAGAAAATTCCAGGGCAATTATCCTACCTTTCTGGCCCCCATCTGCCCAACTTCCACCTGTACCTCCAACTCTCTTCTCAAAATCTATTTCGAGGTGGCTTAAAAAAGTAGACATTATTAAGTTTGTTTTTCATTTCAGATATGTGCACTGCTCATCTGAGTGAGAAGAACAACTTCACCGTCATTAACTACAATTCTACCTTGAGCCAAGCCTCCTATTTTGTTTTTAAATGATCCTTAATTTAGGGTCCAAAATTGTAAGCCCGTACCAGAGTGCTTCAGGTTAATGGCACTCCTCACAGTAGGAATCATTAAAGGTTTGCAGGAGTGGACTTGAATATTATGAGCAACTCATGGCAAGGGCTGTGTTCTGAAGTATCATGCATGTCTATAGTGCTGTATAATTAACAGATTCATATTGCTGGTGCCATCTGGAAATTGATATTATGGAAAACTGCCTGTATTTCAAGTTTCCCTTCTGTGTTTTCTAATGCCTGCATATCTTAGAGGCTCTGGTTTGTTATATCAAGCAATTCTTACCTTTCCGGAATAATCAAAAGATCTCACTCTGGCTACTTTATGCTGCACAGTTGAATAATAAGCCAACTTGGTTAACGATCCACCTGTTATCAAAAATAAAACAACATGCATCTCAGATTCAGGCAGCAGACAGAATGTAGATACTTGTGTGTACTAGTTACCTAGCACAGTTTTAAGAATGGCTTGGCTGCAAGCAGAGCTGATTAGATGAAGCTCTTTATTCAGTGAACCAAAGGACAGTCATTTGGGGATTGTCTTGGCATAGCTAGATGCAGATGCATTGCTTGAAGATAGAAGCTTCACAGGATGCACTCATGCCCAACTGATGCTGGGGTGGCTGAAGAGGTCAGTGGAATCATAAATAAGATTACTTGCTTGAACAAAGGCTATTCAGGTGATTAAGGACTTGTAGGATTGGACTGTTTAGTACCTCCCCCTCACCTCCCAAGATGGCTAGACTAAGCAGGGAAGGTGTTAAAGGCCATGAGGTGACAGCATATCAGGACAGGAGGATAATTCAATTCTGTTTGTGCTCCAACTAGGCCTTAGCTGCAAAGCTCTAAGGAGGAGTATGGATGGGAGGGAAAAGTCACATATCCACTGCTTCTCTTTGTTACATTTGTTTAAGAAATGCATAAAACCCTGCATCTTTTAACAGACTTCATAAGTAAGTTTGCCATGTTTGTTGTAGGGATGTGAAAGGTTAACCAGTGGGGGTTGCAGCAGCTCTCCACCCGCTGTGGGCAGGGGGCTGCTGCAGCCTCAGGGGGCCTGCTGTGGACTGGGGATGTAAAATTCTGTTTAATTAGTTAACCAGTTAATAAGTACAGGATGGACAGTGACTGTACAAGTTTCCACTGATATGTCTTGCCAACATGCCTCAACACTTCCCTAAAGGGGTGACAATCACATCTAATAACAACAGGGTAGTTACATATCCATATCCATGTACTCCTCTGGTCTGAGAGTAAAACATCACAAACTCATTTCACTTAGGTGAAAAACAGTTCTACTGATGCTGACTGTTGGTTTCCTTCAGTCAAGTTTAGGTTTGACCCTAAGAGCAGAAAGCTCTTTTCCCTCATGAAATAAACCCCTTAGCACAACCAGGCCCTCTACCTGCAGTAATGAAATCAAGCTTTCCAACTTAATGTGATCATTTTAAGATTGTAAAATAAGGAATTATCACTTCACTAGACAGAATAGATGAGGACTGGGGGAAAAAAAAAAAAGCTTTTAAACAAGTATCCACAACATTTTTGCCAACAGCATTTATAGAACAGTATTTTATAACTGCCAAAATAATTTAAAAAACAACAAATAGTCTAGTAGCACATTAAAGATAACAAAACATGTAACTGGTATCATGAGCTTTCGTGGGCACAACTCATTTAAGATTACTTGTTTTAGGAAAATTACAACCTCTTAAAATGAGATGAGAATGTCATAAATGCTTGGACCTTTGCATTATACAGAAATACTGTGACAGAATGCACATTAAAATATGTTTTCAGCATATAATTGAATCTGGTTTCTCCTGCTTTGGTTGATTTCTATTTAGTGAGGCTGTCATCACAAGTGATGGGAAACACTTCATGTAAGTGAAACTTTTTTGAAAGCGCCACTTTATTTCAAATTCATTGGTAAATTCCAAATAAACAGAATGTGTAAACTTCAAGAAATCTTAAAAGGTGACCTGGTTATCTAACACACCATTCTTGCATTGAGCAAAGACAACCTTCCTGCTAGTCTTTCTCCAGTCACATCCCATACAGGGATTTTGCCCACTCTGACAAACCTACCAAAAGAAAAAAAATTGAATAAAGCCGAAAGCTACTAGGGTTGCTGAATGGATACAAACTCAATCTTCCCACAAATCAAATCCTTACTGACAGTCTTGCAAATAAAACTGTAACTGGAATTCACATTTCTGAATTCCTTTTTTTAACATCCTGATCACTGATTTAGAGGACTTTTGGTAAGATTATTTATTATTTTCAAAATGGATCAGCATTGCCTATGCCCTAAGAAAAACAGCATCAAGAACATACAGAGAACAAAAATCTGAGCAGTGACTGGAAATCATTTTTTAAAATCCTTTAGCCACTACCGTCCTAGTTGATTAGCTTCCTTCATAATTTTCTTTTAGCTTCTCTGGCTGTTGGACAAGTTTTTAGTTTACAGAACCCAGAGCCCAAAACCTTCTGAGCAATGAGAGAGGGAAGAAAACCTATTTTAACTACAAGTAAAAAAAAAAAAAAAAAAAAAATCTAATTGTCAAATGTCTTATGGGCTATACACCACATAACTTCCTCCTCCACCCCCACACAAAGAAACATCTTGAACCTTGCACTGGAGAACGCCAGTGAAATGTTCTAGTCAACACAGATGGGAAAAGCATCCAGAATCACAGATCCTTAAGGAAGATAGTGCCTCCTTTCCTCTTAGAACACTGCCTAAGAAGAGTTCTGTCTCACATTGCTTTTTTGCAAATAACTACAATTAATTCTTCACCTCATGTCTCCCCCACTAAATAGTTGGGTGAGTGTTCCCTCACTAAGGCCTGTATATCTCTTAGAGGAAAAAAAAAAGCACTTCAGCATCCAAAACAGCGTTTTGGACCATGTAACTACCAAATCTCTCAAACATACACCCTGTGATTTTCCAAACTCCAAATGAAAATGGCTGTGCACTAAGCTATATTGTACTGATTCCTGGACTGCATACATCCCATTGGGAAATTCAATGTCACACTTCCATGAACTAAAACTTACAGCACTAAACATTGGTAATCTAGGCAAACTAGGAAAGTTTTGAAAGAAGTGGTACAAAGGACAGTGAGTCCCAGACAGATTGACCATCATATACTGCTCCATTTCACATGACCAATGACCATCTCTGGTAACAAAAAACAACAACATTTACTAATCCTCAGACCTTCTGAGGTCCCATTCTGATGCATCAGCTGAAACTGTCACTTTCAGTTGACAAGAAAATAACTTTTCACCTTTTGACTGGTTTTGAACATCAGAAATAAAAATTCAAATATCAACACAAACTTGATGGATTTCTGCGGAGAAGTATCAGAGGGGTAGCCGTGTTAGTCTGAATCTGCAAAAGCGGCGAGGAGTCCTGTGGCACCTTATAGACTAACTGAAGTGTAGGAGCATAAGCTTTCGTGGGCAAAGACCCACTTCATCAGATGCATCTGACGAAGTGGGTCTTTACTCACGAAAGCTTATGCTCCTACACTTCAGTTAGTCTATAAGGTGCCACAGGACTCCTCGCCGCTTCTGCTGAGAAGGTACCCTTAACTTCCAAACCTCTAAAAAATGCTCTGAAGTTGAAGTGGTGTTTGCAAAGCACTTTGAGATCCCTAGATGAAATGCATTAATGAGCTATAAGGTTAATTTTAATCAACTAAGTTGATTTTAGTTTTATTTTTTCAATTTACAGAGACTTAAAATCCTGCATTAGACACCTGCTGTGCTGGGTTTATGGCTAATCCACTGCTCTAATTCTACTCTGACCCACTGAAAGGGACACTATGCAGTAATACATAACAATAACAGGAGTTAAAATAAAAATAAATAAATAACTGTCCCTTTCAGAGGAATTACACCCCCGGTCCCTTTTTCTTCACCCTCAAACAAACACATACACCTCTCATGTGATTAGCCTGTAATTCTGTACAATGTCTCAGGCTTTTATACTACAGACCCTGAACTGAAACCAACTGCAAATCTAATGAGAAAAAAGTGCTGCTTAATAAACAACCCAAAACATTTCCTGTGATTGTAAAAATAGAGAATAGGAGGGAAAACCTAAGTGGTCCAATTCCACTCCCTTTGGCTTCTATGAATGAAGCAAGAGTGGTCCCTATCTGCAGGAATTTGACCCTGAGCTGCTTCATTTGCACCTCAAGGAGCTTCTTGCAGTGATCAGGAGCTGTAAAGGCAGAGGAAAATCTACCTCTCTAGTCTCTCTATTCCTTGGCATAAAGATTCCACAATGTCCTAACAAGGAACAGTTGTTCCATCTTGTGTATCTAGGCTTTAAGTTTTCATTTTTTGATTGTACTGTGACAAACTATGCACCTTGGTCCAGGATGTTATGACTGATCTCCCTGAGTGCGGCTGTGGGAAATATAGATAACAGTCAGCTGTTAATATAGTCAGTCTATCAGAACCCTACCAATTCAGAAACGAGCCCTTCCTCTACCAGTGTCCCCACAGTCCTTACATTTTCCTTAGCGAATGGGGAGAAAGAAAGAAAGCAGGAGGAAAATCAGGAAGAAACACATTCCTCCTGAATGTACGGGATTTTTTTTTTGAGGGATGGGGGAAGGAGAGACAACAACCTCGGAGGTATGTCTACACTACCATATAAGCTCCACTTTAGTACAATTCAAAATTAGCGACCATTGGGGTTCTTAACTTAGGGTTTGAATGTCTACATTCACTTGTAAACCCCCTCCCCCCGTTAAGAAAAGTTTAACCCTGAGCTCAACCTGGGGCTCCAACATCTTATGTGGCCCAGAGTTCAGGCAGGTATAAGGTGCCACAGGACTACTCGTTGTTTTTTTCCAGATGTGTTCCAGACTTCCTAGCACGCTCTCAATGTAGGACTATTCTAGCCCTTTGTCTACGGAGCAGCATGGGAAAATTTGACTGTCCATCAAACTTACCAGTCCAGAGGTCAAAGAAAGTCAGTCAAGGGGATTGTCAGATAATTTTGGTGGACCCCAGATAGGGATGTGAATGACAAGTCAACTACCCTGTAAGTGTTTGCTTAGCGGATAGTCAACAGGCTAGTCGACTAGTCGCTTCCCTTCCCCTTGCTGCTTCTATCAGAACCCAGGCTCCATGCGGTGCTGCTGCTTTGAAATGCTGCGAGGGACCAGTGGGACACTGCTAGAGCCCCTCCCGCTCCCGTGCTCCCCACAGCGCTTTCACCTTTGAAGAATAGTGATAGAAATGTAGCCGTGTTAGTCTGGTGTAGCTGAAACAAAATATTTGTTCTGATATTTGATCAAATAGCAATCAAATCACTTTTTGATCTGAGGCAGTGCGTCTGGCCCACGAAAGCTCATCACCTAATAAACCATCTTGTTAGTCTTTAAAGTGCTGCATAGTCCTGTATTTTGTTTCACCGTTGAAGTGCAGCAACAGGCCTGGCGCGGTTGATACACTTCAAAGGCAGAAGCCTCCTTATCAACTATTCGATTAGCCAAATAAGCGACATTTTACCTCCCTAACCCCAGAGCTCAAGCCTAGGGGGGCTGCAGAGACTGTGGGACCCTAGGTCCAGAGTGGGAGGCTGGGATGAGCCTGGGTTAGCATGAGGTCCTGCGGCTGGGGGGTGGGGGGGGGGCTGACTGGGCTTGAGCCTGAGCCCAGGGTTCATGGGGCAGTGCAGACTCTTGCTGGAGCTGCCTGTGCCAGGGGCTAAGGTGGGAGGAGACCCCCCCCCCCCCCCCGAGCGCAAGTGTTCTTCC